GGGGCGTCAAGTAGAAGGAAACAAGCGCACCTCATTGTTCATAGACTGAAAGAAACTTTTAAAAAGCAGGTCCCCTTAACGTCCCCATTTCTGAGGCCTCTTGGCTGCTCAGGATTTGACAGCCTGAGTTGAACAGACAAGCTCAGACAAGGGGACGATTTCCCAGTAAAAAGGCACTTAAATTCAACATTTACTATCAAAGGATGAAGTGGAAATGAAGTGGAAATTGGAGGCCTCAAGTGGAGTCAAACGTTTATATTGTCACAAAGTTGGATTTGGGCAAAGACAACTTACTTGCAGCTCTATAATGAAGCAAAGTGGTTCAAATGGTGAGCAATGTAAATGTAATGAGGAAAACTGAGCCTCACAAAGGATCATTTCAGTGGACGAGAAACTCACGGTTTCGGATCGTATCACGGATCAGAGTTACAGATCGGATCATAAATTGGATCAGAACAAAAGACAAAAGGGAGCAAATATAACTTTTAGAGATCCCAAAGGTAAACTGTGTAATTAATCTGTGATTCACGTGTGTGCTGAACCGTGAGGGGTGATCCGTACGGATCACGGATCGATTATCTTCCACATTAATCTCTGTAGGATTATTATGCTGGTTTGCCTTCCAAGGTCTTGCAAATAAAAATTAGTAAACAGCCGAATGTGCAAACAAGAGGCTCAAACTGTTGAATAATCCAAGAGTTAAAACAGACATATTCAGGTGTAGAAAACCTTTTCACATAGAAGTAGTAATGTGATTAATATGAAACATATTGATTATAGCCACTGTAGGACTAAAATGTCCCTAAATATCAAAACCACATCAGACTTGAACCACCAAATTCTCAACATTCTTGAGTCCTGTATTCAGGAAACTGAGAAAACTGGATACACAGAATTATCATTTATGAACTTTCAGGATGTGCTGCTTTTCTGTTTTGTATGATTGGAATTTGAATGTGTTTGGTTTTGCACTGTTGGTTGGAAACAACACACAATTACATCACCTTGGTCCAACTGAACTTTTCACTTTTTTACATTTTACAGACTAATCAATAATCAATAAATAAATTAAAAAAACTAGGCTATCTAAAGGGACCCTCTGAGGGCACAAACCTCCGCTAAAGGCCGTTTGGCGAATGGAAAATAATGCGTGAGTCTGTGAGTCTGATCAGCTCCAAAATGTTGTGAGTTTTTCCTTGGCCCATGCTACACCCTCACATTAAGCTTCATGAAAATCTGGTCAGTAGTTTTTTCCCTAATCCTGACAAACAAAACAAACCAAACTTAAAACATAACGTCCTTATTAATTGATATTCTTAATATTATCATGATACAGTTTTCAACCATCGCCCAGCACAACAACCAGGGAGTCAAAAGAAGAACAGATGTTGTGGAACAGAGAAACAGGGAGGGGAGTCTGACAACAAGGTAAGAAGATCCAGACGAAGAGGAGATGAAATCGCCTCCATCTCTCCCACTTTTCCATGACCCTCCGAGCACCCGGTGACCCGGAAAAACTGCAGCATGGGAGGACAAGCGGCCGCTCTCAGAACAAACCCTCAACCTTTCAACACTGTCCTGCAGATCTGCCACTTTGCAGTATTGTTTGTCTTTCCTCTGTTTCATACAGACAAACAGAGGCCGAAGGGGGGGAATAGAGGACAGCGGTGTTTACACAAACCCATTTCACAGTCAAATTGGAAAATCCATACGTCAGGATTTTGGCTGCACTACAGTCAGCAGGGAAATGTTTCTCTGCATGTCAGGATAACTTGTATAAGTCAGAAGATAAAGCGGGTTTGTGGATTTGTAATTTTGGGAAACAGAATATACTTAAGTTAGTAGGGGTTTTCTTTCTGCATTGTTATCACCCTTACTGTGTGCATGTGATGACCACTGCTGGTAGGATTTCAATATACATTTAATCAGAAACTTGTTGACCATAACACTGTTTTATTGTAGTTAACTCAGCCAATGATTATAAAAGGGCAGTGAGGAGTTTATTGTATAGATGGGTATATTAATTAAATTAAATTCTGCTTTATTTACACCTGTGAATATAACGACCATTGCCATTGTGAAGGCAATTGTAAGCAGCAGCAGTTCAACATCCAAGTAAACACATAAACAGAAAGGCTATACTTTTAAAAAACTGAGTCTGGAATTGGCAATAAATACATTACTTGTTTTACAGTAATGCAGCCAGAATATCTGGGTCATAAAAAGTTATTAATATAGTATCATGAAATATGAAACACTAGCTGTGTAAATCACAAGTTTCATCCCGATACAATATTATATCCATTGTTTGGACAACGATACACTATATGCTGATATCACAAAGTCTGCCACAATACAATTTTGATTTGATCAATTCAGGGTCCTGCGATCAATATGAGACAATATCATATTTAACACAATCAGTTACATTTAAATATCAACTCACAATAACGTGTGATTTCACAATTATATTACTCTGTATGAAACTGGTGTGGTTGAACAGAAATGGTAATACAAACTTGCCATGGGAATTTCAAAATAAAGGCGTATCTTAAAGATGATGATCTGTGTCAATGTTTTCAAATGGAGTCATGTTGCGGTTTAGCAGCAGAGTCAAATGTACCATTGGGCTCTGGCACTTTCGCCCTAAATAAATGAGTGACAATGCAAATATGCCTCCCACAGATAAATAGATAGAAAGTAGCAGCATTTCAGCCTGCAGATACCAAAACACCAACCACAACCAAAAGACATGAACGTCAACGCTTATTGAGATTAGCCAAGCAGGTAAACAAAAAATTGAATCAAGACATCCACGCACACAAAAACACTAACATGCTGCAGCAGCTCCTACCGTTGTAAAGTGAAGCATCTCTCGGACATCTGGGGAGATTATTCATGGTGGTCTCAAACAGCAGGACTGGAAACTCCAACTTCCGGCTTTACAGTCTATGGGTGCTAGCTCGTTAGCTAAACGTCAGTAGCAGCAACTAAAATATTCTATTATTTGTTTGATGATACTACATGGGCAGTCGTCGTCATAAAAAGGGTGTTTACAACTGTAACTGTGAGCTAACCTTAATTAACATATGCAGCAGGTGTGCAACAGGCAAATTCAGAAGACGGAGATTTGACGCGTTTAAATACCCCGCCTTGTTAAGGGTGCCTCCTGATTGGCTAGTACTCGTTGTCCTCATTGGTTGGATTGGTTAGGTTTCGGTAAGAGGAAGGCGATTGGTTAGTGTTAGGGTAAGAATATCAGGTTGAGCCAATCAGAGACAGAGGAGGGCGGGACATGCAGTCGCTCGTAGTCGGATCGATTCGTAATGTTCGTAATATGCATATACTGTGTATGGCCGCTGGGGTACATTTACTCAAGTACTGTAGGCATCTTAAGTACAATTTTGAGGTACTTGTATTTTACGTAAGTATTATAATGTTGTGCTACTCTATAGTTCTACTCCATTATATCTCAGAGGGTAATATTGTACTTTTCACTCAACTATATTTATCTACAGTTTTAGTTACTTTACAGATTGTGATTGTACTAACAAAACATGAAATATTTTTCCAAGATATTATACTTTGTTACAGACTAAACAATCCAACAGCATATATAGTTAAAATTAGATCCAACTCCACCAGCTGTACCATTGAAAAACTGCTTATGTGTTAAAGCATTAGGAAAAATATTAAGATTATATGATATATAATAATATAACTCTCTAAAAAGGGACCATTCTGCCCAACAAGTACTTTAGTACTTTGAGTACATTCTGCTTTAACTTAAGGGAAGTTTTAAATGTAAAACTTTAACTTGTACAGTAACTGTACCTATTTTTACAGAGTTGTATTGCTACTTCTATCTCTTCCACCACTGGATGATTGGCATTTTCACAGATCTCCCAGATGTGTTGGGTTCTATAGTTATGTTTCTTTACTCTAGATATACAATTATTTTGAAAGTAAATTTAGTGTCAAGGCAAACTCCTAAAGTGTGAGAAATGTTTGAAAGCAAAGACGCATCCAAAGAATGTTGCCATTTTAAATTTGATTGAAACTTCAGAAGCAAAAAACAGAGGTTGAAACAATCTGGTGGGGGGAGCTGAGCCTAGTTTGTGCAGGAACATTGTTTTTTTTTAATCCTTAGAGACAACTGGACTCAGTTTCCAGATGTAGTGGGTGTTTAGACAATGAGCAAACAGTTACACAACGCATGACTCTGGGTTCACTGGCGGCAGCAGCAGTTAGAGGACGTGAAGTGGTGTTTACTCCGTTCCTGGAATAGCCCTGTACAAAACAAATGAACCGCTGCTGGCAAACGCCGACTCCTTCACCTCCTGGTCCTTATAGGGCTATTTCAACCAACTGCTATGGACAATAATTTTTTAAAAAGAGTTAAAATCATGTTTTTAAAACTTCAGAGAAAGCTATACTGTATGTGTTCAAACTATACGTCTAGCATTTTTTTTTTTTTTTTAAACAACTTATTTTTAAGTTGTGTGTTGAAGGCACGTCTGCTCTATATGTTGTGTGTGAGAAGAGCAAAGACATGAACCCGACACAGAACATTAGGCTGCAAGAGTCTACTTTATTGCATTTGCAATCACAGGGTGACAAAAGTGAAAAATGTTTAACAAAGGCATGTTGATGTGTATGCACCACAGAGTGTTTATGCAACACAGTATTACAAACACAGTACAAATGTTAAAAAACAAACAAAAGAGTTTATCAGTTGCATCATATTCTTGTTTTTTGTATTTATTTTAAATTCCAATTTTTTTCTTGGTCGTCAATAAAAAAAAAAAAAAAAAACTAAAAAACTAAAAAAAAAAAAACACACAAGGTTGCAGAAACAAACAAATAAGGCAGCCCTATAACTACAACAAATAATATAAAAAAAAAAAACAAAAAAAAAAAAACTAATAAGGTAAACGGGACATCCTCCCGTCACCTAGCGTTGGTCATTGGTTCAAACCCCCCCCCCCCCCCCCATCTGAGGAGCGACATGGATCAGAGTGAGGATCAGGATCAGGAGGAGGCGGGGCTCCCTGCGTCGCTGCTCTCACTCACCTGGCGTTGCATCACCATCTCTCGGGCAACGCAGGTGATCTGACCATTAGTCACTGCACCTTGGACTTGGACCCCCGCCCTGAGACAGAGAGAGAGAGAGAAAAGCTATTCTTGATACTGTATAATAGAAAAGGTGTGACTAGTGTGATTAGTTTACACAGGGACAAGTCATAGCCTGCAACCAAACCAGGACTGATTGAATAATCTACATTATGGATGGAGTGACAGTGTTGTGATTATTTGAGGTTTTATAAAATTTTCCCACATCTTTGAAAAGCATTTTTAATTCCAGAACCTGTCTGACACTAATGGCTCTTTTAGTGAGTTCAAAAACAAACAAACATGAACATACTATTATGTTAAACATATTGTCATAAGGCTTATCACTAATGTAATAAGTTAGATGACATAATGACAAATGCCAGTTCAACCAGTTTAAGCTGGTACACCGGACAAACCGGAAATCAACCCAAGAGCACTCAGACATGTGGATAGTAGGAGAAAGAGAGAACTGACAACCTTGTGGTTAAAGGACAACACGCTCTACACATCGAGCCACTAACTCTGACCCCTGCCAGGTTGGATCAGTGGCAGCTTTATTTAACAAAATGTACAAAGCTGACTTATACTTACTTCTGCTGTGCCTCCTCAGTTAGTGGGGTCATCCCCTGCTGCTTCCCAAAGAAGAAACTGGACCACCAATGTCCTGAGTCCTGCTTGGGGAGTCCTGTGGAGGCAGATAATGAAGACATGGGTTTATACAGGTAACACAGCGCCTACTGTCCATTTAATTCAACTTTCTCACTGTGGAGTTTGTGTCATTTTGTGTATTCATTTGACATTTTAACACCCCGGGACAGAGTGGATGACAGCAGACTGAACATTACAGCGACCTAATGTGAGTGTGTAGAGTGTGTGTGTTTGAGTTGAGTGTGTGTTTCATCAGCTACACTCCAAAGGGGAGACATGACTCAGCATTCCCCCTTCAGGACTCTGCCTCACTGTGTCACCACTTGAGTAACAGCTCCATTTGCACACAGGCAGCGAAATGTACAGAACAACTGCTGTGTGTCATGATTAACTTCTAGGTCAAGCCAATTGTCAAAGTGGGGACAGCGAGGGATGTATTGTGTACATATAGTCACTGTGCCTCTCCCAAAATATTTTGACAGTCCACAATGTGAACTAGTTTCCTAAATTTTATTAAACTGCTTTTTTTTTTTTTTTTTAATGACTAATTGCTTACTTTGTTATAACACCCAGCTAACAATGTAAACCCTGTAATTAAGTACCACAATGTAATACTATACAGTCCAACATCATATCGTTTCCCTGTTTGTTTAATAATGCAAGGCATGTGCATTCCACTGTCTTTGTGCGCACGCACATGCACACACACACACACACACTTCCCCTTTCACCTACATTTGTTTCCAGCACTGTGAAGTGCATCTGTGTGAAAATGTCAGCGCCCTGACACCATTAAAAAACTGACTCAGTGGTTTTCAAAGTCAAGCTGCACTGAAACACTGATCCAGGATTACTGGTGAAGTCAGCAGATTTTAACCAGACTTAAGGGATATAGTGGTGTACCAGGGGTTGTATGATTTTTCTTCAGATAATACTGACATCTGAATTCTAACCAGAGAACTGAATGGGAGTAAAGAAATCCCTTAATCTTGGGAGGAATACAGGACTGAAAAGCATGTTTCTGCTGGATAAGAAAAAGCGAGATCAGACCGGGTGTTTTCCAGGATGACTCAACCATAGTCGCTCTGAGGAAACAGTGGTTATGACTTCACCACAGCGATCCTCGAGGTGCCTCAAACTGAAGCTCTGCCTGCGATATTATTGAGTAACGTCACCATCTTTTGAAACTGTTGCACAAAATGCAGGACGTTGACCAGTTGCTCTAACAGACAGAAACATCTGAATCTGTTACAGACACACAATTCCTGAAGGTGTTGAACACAGTGTTCTCTCAAAACAACAAAATCATTTAAATGACTCATTTTTCCGGAGTACACGTAAGTTGTCTTGCGTTATTTCCTGACTCAATTTCTGAAAACTGAGTTTTAACTTCCTATGGAGGCTTTTCCACACTGACACAGTGAATATCTGAGGTTTTCTTTAGCATAAAGACTTGAATCTTCTATGTTTGTTTCTGTTTCATGGATACAAACACACACCTGGATGGTGAGGGATGACCTCTCCACTGTACTCTGAACTGCCACACGAGCTGCTACTGGATGTAGAACCGATGCGCCCTGCAGGAGGAGAGAATCAGCAGAAAGAGCGCTGAGCAAATTGTTGATTAAGTCATAGTCAACCAAACTGAAAAGGTGAAAGGTAACAAGTAAAGATTTTATGGATCACACTGAAGGGTTAGTGCTTTGACCCACAAGAAGACCTTGATGTAATATCTATCGGTTCCCTTAAAATGAGAGGGGTGGCAGAGGGATTCAAATCAATTTTTGTCTTGTTATCAGCCTGTATATCTGTCTATTTTACCTATAAATCTAATATTTGTGATACGCAGGAAATGACTGGTCAGCATTAAAACTCAGTAGAACTCGATTAATGAGTCATGACAAACAAGGAATAGGTTACTTATGCTCCAAGTATTAAACCAATGATTCACCCTGAGACATGAATATTTTACCCTGAGCACTTACTAGTCATCTTTTAAAATCAGAAAAAAAACAAGATGACTCATTACATCTAAACGTCAAGCCATTTAATGATGCCTCATCTCCAGTATAGTCTTGTGTAAAGGGACAAGAGGTCAGTTTGACTCTGTGCACTGGTGTGACAAGGGAATACAAAGGAGAGAGACTCACTTCGGTAGTAGTCAGTGGTCGCCACGAGAGAACCGCCTGCTGGAATGGATGCCATTCTACTGTAGTTGGTCGCTGTATGCTGTGCTTGATGGAAACCTGGAGAGGGAAAACAACAGTATGATCACAACTGGCTGGGATACATTACTCAGCAAAGGATTTGAGACATCTTTCAATACTCCTTTTAAAGACAAGTGCCCACAAAGGGATCCAAGACAGAAATGATGAGGATTCCATAACAGGAGCTTCAAATAATATTTATTATTACCAAGCTACTGTCATTTCATTATAGATGTATGTGCCAATGATCAAGTAGTTGTTAGGTCTATAAACGCCAGAAAGTAGTGAAAAATGGCTGTCATTCAAATGTTTTGTCCAACCAACAGTCCAAAATCCAAAGACATGCATTTACACTCATAGAATCACAGATTTTTTTGGTATTTGTGCTTTAAAAATATTTATTTACCAATAAAGTTAATGTAAATTTTTTTTCTATCAATATACTATCTAGTTGATTACCTAACCCTTTCACATCTAACATACATACATACATACATAGTAGTTACATCATTTCATTCCCTGTGTTGTAAAATGTCAAATAAATTAAACTTATAACCGTGTAATACTATACAAGGCTGCAACTAATGAATGGTTCATATAGTGTACAATATAACATGTAAGAAACCACTAACAGGCATGTGTTTCACAGTTTTGCTTGATAAATGTCTTAAACAGATGATTGATTTATCAATTAGTAAACTAATCCTTTCAACACTGAATATATACCAGAAAATGTGACAAAATAAATCATAGAAAAACATCCTGGACTCCAGCTGTTATGCAGAACAACAAACAAAACACGGAGGATTCGAACAGGAACATGAACACAAATAAAGTGTATATCAAAACTGCTCCTGTCTCACGTGCAAAAATACATAATGTAGAAAACCAGAAGGTTTTTTTTTTTTTTGCTGGTTCACATCCGTCATGTAATGACGTCACCCCATGTTTTGCAGAGTCTTGTTTACATGAGATGGTCACTGCACCAAACCGACATTTTGACGTTATTCTGTACCATGAAAAATAAATAAACAGTATAATAAAAACTTAAATAAAACCATCATTTAAGAAGGACGGGTTGCTACATAAAAGGCTGTCTTAAAGGGAATAAGATAACACACCCTTTATCTCTGGTAACGGGGACATTTTGTCTCCAACGAAGACAAAAACTAAATCTCAACAGTCTGTTCACTTCAACGATGTCAGTTACAACAGTTTATGAGTCAACACCACCGGTAACATGACCGTTGGTATTCTGTGAATGAAACAACATATACAACGATAAAAGGACGACATACATAACGTTTATTATTCTAGGTTATAGAAATAAACATAACAAAGACTCTGTGACTGATGCTGACAAGCTAGCAGTAGCTCGCCCCACCAGCCAGAAAGAGTACATTTTAACCCAAAACACGACATTTTCATTAGACTATCCAAGTAGGTTTGTTACTGAAACCAAAGGAGATTTCTGCCATTAACGGCTTTCAGGAACGCAAACTTGTCTCCTCCTCACTGGCACCAGAATACTGTGTTAGCACCATTTTATAACCCGGGGGATACCCTCAACGTACCTCTTTAGGGACCCAAAAGTGCTCGATGTTCCGTAGCACCCAATTCAACTCAGTCTGGCGAGGCTGGGGCAGTAAACGCTAGGCGACGGGACCCATTGGAACATAAGAGTTCGGTGAGTGTAACCTCCAAGATCCGACAGGATGTCAGCGAGGCTTCTTGTTGACTGCATCGGTCAGCTCGCGACTTTATAGCACGGGGTTGGTGACGAAGCAGTCAAGGGGGCGGGGCGTATAAAACAGTGACGACAAATAATGAACTACAGAAATAAGTAGTACCAAAGGTCAGAGCTTAAAAATCATTCTTTTATATGTTTCCAAAAGAGATGGAAGGGTAAATGTATTTCCCGTCATCAGGATTGTAGGTGCCGCTTTATTTCATTTAACATTTAATAACTTTTTTTTTTTTAAAAAGTCACTTTTTCCAACTCGTCAATGAATGTGATTAAGTATCGTGTATTGTGTGTGTAACTATTGTGTCGCACACAATTTTTCAATGATATATATTCATCATATTTTATCAGTGTAATAAGTGTTTCAAATTATAGTGCAACGAAAAAAAAGCATTTTTTTTTACAAATTCTGAAAAATAAAATAATAAAAATAATACTTTTTTTTTTTTTAAAACAAGATGACTCACACAAAGTTTGGGTTGTTCTTTTGTATTTCAAATTTAATGTATTTTATTTTGTAATTTCCTTTTCTTTTTTAATAATGCAATATATCTAATTTGTGTGATTCAAGCTTCCGTTTTAGTTTCCATGTTTCCCTGAAATTCACCAAAATTCAGTGACTTTATTACAATTGACTAACCACAGAGACATGAGCACTAAGCACTGTATGAGGAGCTCCCCCTGTGGTGAAATCCATAAATTGCACCAAACTGAAAATTCAATATAGTAGACTTAGATAGAGGGATACATACATGTGAAGTTTGTCTTTGTTATTTGTGTAGAAAATCATCTTTTGCCATCCCAGTTTTAAGTTATTTATTGTTACATTGCACAACAACAAGCCTACAGAGTCAGTGTGACAATCAAAATGTAAGATCTGTCTCCCTACATTATTTTCAAAACAGTAAAACATATAAATAAATATCATACTGTGTCGTTTGTAGGTAAACCTTATATGTGATTTACAGTCCACCGATCTGATTAGTGACTCTACTTTGTTACTATAATGGTGGACAAAACTTCTTGACGTTGTCGGCAGGATTCGAACCTGCGCGGGGAGACCCCAATTGATTTCTAGTCAATCGCCTTAACCACTCGGCCACGACAACCGTACCGGCTATTACTTCCTAGAACTATATGACGTCACGTGACATCATGTGACGATGAAATAGAGAGTCGAGAGAGACACACTGGTGTGGATGAAAGAAACCCTTTTAATATTTAGATAATCCAAAGGTTGGAGAAATCCTCAGGTCTTTACTTAAACGTAAAGTAGCAACATAACCGAAATACTGTTACAAGTAAATCATGTACAAACGTATTGTTAAACCAAAACTGAAAATTTGGATAACAAAGATGTCAGTTTATTTTCCACTATGATGCATGGCGCATGTGTGTCCCTGGTGGTCTAGTGGTTAGGATTCGGCGCTCTCACCGCCGCGGCCCGGGTTCGATTCCCGGTCAGGGAACTACTGTTTTCCTGTGTGAACTTAATACGACTAAAAATGTATCCATTTTAAGTCCTTACCGGATATCTTACACCATTTATTAATCCCTCGTTACAGTACACACCAATTGCAACCATGATGCATCACTCTACCATTACCAAAACTTATAAAGGTACCACAGATGCTGACATAAAAACATAATGGTGTTTTTTGTTATCATAGATGAAGACTGAACTTAATGACAAGTCGTAACACATCAAAAGATGTAATTTAAGTAACCCAAGGCTACTATGCTTTTCTTTAAAAAGTTCCCAAATTATTGAATGTTACTTTGTGCCGATCATTCAGTTAGGAAGAAATGCTGTTTCTAATTCGTCTCAGTGTCAGAGCACAGACCGGTCTGTTTGACGTCTCTGAAACGACCATAAGCTAACTAAACAACTAAAATTAAAAGACAAAACTTCTGGTTAGAGCAAAAAAGAGACATTGACCAAACACTGCTCATTCATTTAAAGGAATGCTTTATTGATATCCAAACATATACAAGAAGACCAAATAATTAATTCACCATAATCGTCCAAATCTGATCTCTTTTGATATTCTACATCAGTTAGGCCCAGGACCTAGATAAAGCTTAAAGTACTCTACTGTCCTCCAGCCTCTGCAGCAGCTGGCACTGATGTGCTGCACTTCCCATTGGCACCCAAATCAAAAGAGCATCTTTTTCTATCCAGCACATCAATTCTGAACTAAATGACTTGAGATTTACATTTCTTGTAGTGTGCATCTGTGTTTTCCACTCCATGAGATTCAGGAAGAGATTTTGTAACAGATAATTAGGTATTGGCAACTTGTTTTTTTTTGAAAGTGATGGCAAATTATTTGTACAAATACCAAAAGGAAAACCAAAAGAAAAACAGAACAATTCACCCAACAGGAATATATTAACTAGAGAAATGACCAACACAAACAAAAACAAGAAGATACACTTATGATACACTGGCAGTTATGAAGCCGGGGGGGTGTTTGTTTATAAGCTGTGTGCATTTTCATTCAATGGATGTAAGTTTTGGCGGAAATCATTTAATGTCATCAAAATATAACAATTCATGTTCATACTTTTCTATGGCCTCAATAAAACACATTGGCATTTGGAGACATTGTACTGAAGCTGAGCCAGGATACAAGAGCAACATTTTGTAGTCGGCAATGCGAGAGGCAACATTGAAACACCTTCAGTGCAAAATCGACCACGATCAGCATCGATAGTAATCAACCTTCTTGTTTTTCAGGTTCAGGAGAAAAGTGCGGCGCTGCACAACATTTCTGAGGCTGTGTGGTATGTAAGAGCTTCTGTTTTATCACTACAGGTGCACGACGATAAGAGCAACAGTGATCTTGTACAAAAGGTGTGCGTTAGTTTGGCCTCATGCAGAGTGTGCGAGTAGGGCATTGAGTAGCACCTGATGTGTGGTAACAGGAGTGCATTAAGGGGCCGTTAGCAAAGTCTCCTCTAATGGCAGCGAGACGGTTTTATGACACATTTTGTGGCCGGTCAAGATTCTAAATATTTAAAATGCCAACTCTCCTTCCTTCAATCAAACCAGTCTGTACAACAAAAAAAGAAAAACAAAACAAAACTTTTCTACCAGCAGAATTATAACAAGTGAACCATTTAAAGTGAGTAAAGCCGATAGAGAAGCGTCGACATTCACCGGGTAGTGTACAAAGCAAAGCATCGTCTCACATCGAGTTCTGAATGTTGAAAGGATCATTTTAACTTTTTGAAGTAGTGTTGTATGAGGTACTTATACACAGTCAGAGGCATCAGTAGACGGGCAACTCCCGTATTTTGAGAGGTAAAATGATGGTCTGTGTGACGGAAAGGTAAAGCAGTGAAAATATTCTAAAGATATCGTACATCTAAACCCATATTGATTTCTTTGAAGTGTCTAAAATACGTCCACAGCAGTACATTGCTTTGCTCCCGTGCTGATACTCCGGCCTGTTTCTCCAAATTGGGGGCGTGCCGATCGCCATCTATTGTAGTACTACACACTCATACAACCACACTTCAAAACACCCAAACGATCCCTTCAACAACAGGAAGGGAACTACAGTCAAACCAGGGGACAAAGAAGCAAAGTCAAAGTGGTTTCAAAACATTGGAGGTTTCAGTCTAACTTGGCAAATGGCGGCGTTAACGCGCTGCAGAGATCAAAACATCACGGTACACTTCCGTCAAATTAAACCATTTTGATTATGTTCTTTCTCGTCCGATTAAAACCCAGGCGGGTGCAAAACGACTGCAGCTCATTAATGAGTCAGTGTCAAACATTTTTTCAGATCACAAATGTACTTAAAAGAGAAACAAAACCCTGACAGAAGAAACCCTCATGTCTGTGAAACTGACCCATAGTTTTTCTTTTTACATTTGTTTAGCCTTCCCCTGACTTTTCCTTAAACCTCCTAAACTGATCACTACCGTTCGGCATCAGAGACAATATATTTACTCATCTATATTTATACATATTGATAAAAGTTATGTAAAAACATTTTTGCAAAGCAGTGTAAAATAGTTTGTAATACAAAATGGTTTACGGTTGTTTTTTCTTCCTGTTTTTACATCCTGTGGGTGTTCTTAGGGTGTTACGCGAGACCTCAGTCTTCTTTGCGTGGTTTGTACGGTACCACGTACCACTAACCTCCAACCTCCAACCATCCGCGCAGCTGTGAAGAGAACTCTGTACAAGTAGAGAGACAATATATGGAGATACTGTGGTGACACCAGCATGTGCTCACAGCGTGAATGTAGGATTTCAAGTACATGAGAGCACTCAGAAACAAGAAGACAGAAATGGTAGCAGTATAAACCACCGTCTTGCTCCTCCACCTTCAGTCTGTAGATACCCGGGCTCTAAACTGACTTACGCGGCATCTTAACAAACACCCAAACCCAAAGATAAATGTGAAGTTCCTCATTTAGTTTAAGAGCCTGACTCTTAATAATGCCTTTTACCCTTGTTTTTTAGCCAGGGGATTTGCTGAAACAGGTGAAAGAAGGTGTGTGAAACGCGCAGGAGACAACAGTTTTGACTTATTTGGACTAACGAAGGGGTGTGGGTCTAACTGGGGAGGAAGTAGAGGCGAGGGGGTGGGGGGGGGGGGGGGTGATGTAACAAAGCACGGTCTGTAAATTATTCAGGTTTAGACATCAACAAAACATTTTCCTTTTCCTCAGCAGCAAGGCAGAAGAATGGAAGCTGTGGGACCAGCATCCCACCTCAAACCAAACGAGTTCTTCACAACCCGCCCCGTCTGCTTCCACAGACCCCGAGGCAAAGTGTGAGCGGTGGCGAGCTGGAGGGTCAACGGTCAGGGCTGACTCTGCGATGTGAGGCGATTAACAGTACAGTCTCAGGTCGTGAGGAAGGTGGCAGCGAGGAGGAGGAGCAGGGATGCATTCAGAAGGACGGGTTCTCCTGAGTGGGGGTGGTGTCGGTGGGGGAGACGGCCTCCCCGTTATCTCTGGGGCCAACAACCTTGTACTGAGGAGACGAGAGAGAGGAAGGAGACTAGAGTGTTATTGATCGTCTGCATTATACACCGACTCACAGTTTCTCTTTCCTGTCGGGAAAACATTTAAAATCCATCAGCGTGTCATGAAATCCATAATACACACTGCAGTTAAAAACAACATAGGGAGGCACATACCCATGTAAAAGGGTGCGGTCTAGCAGCAATCTAACAGTACAATAAATCACATTTATTTTATCACAATAACCCAAAATCTGTTTTGTTCTGCAATTTTTTTTTTAGGTTTCAAAAACCTCAATGAAAACTTTTTGGTTAATTTATCAAACCCAAGAACCTTCTTAATATAAAATAACTTATTTGTATGTACAGTAAGGTAACATGATGCGAGGGGAGGGCTGTGGCACTAAAAAGTGATTTGAATTCGACAACGACAAAGAAACCGTATGTAACGTGGACCCGACGGTCTGCTCACCTTCAGGTTCCCCATTCTATCCTCAAATGACTTGAAGGTTGCAGAGTTCCTGCAGAACAGAAATACGAGATCATATTAAAAAAAAAACAAATTAAAAAAAAAAGTAAACGCAATGAAAAAGACAATTTTTTTTTTTTATATTTTAAGAATTCATGGTTAATAATCTGTAAAGAAAGCAGAACCATAACAAGCATCAACAGATGAACAGCACAGAGACCAACAGCAGCTGTGCAGGCACAGAGTACTGCAGGCACAGACAGTAATGTGTGTTACACTGACAGACGGAAGCAGTACAGTGAGCAGGTTTGTGTGTTACTTTACCTCATGGCTGGCATACTTATAGAGTGGCGAATGGAATAGTTGCTACTTTGTAAGCATTAAAGAGAGGAGACAGAAGTGCAAGTGTTATAAAGAAAGTAGTGACACACACACGTGCACACACACACTAACTAACATAATGCAGATCAACAATTCATTCAAAGAACTACAGTTTTGTTTAAGTAACAGCAAAGGATAACGAGCTTCTTTAATCTATGTGCTGGGGACTAAATGAATTGAGGGAATCTAAAGTAAGAAAATAATAGAGTAGGTTGGAAAAAAAACCAAGTCAAAGTATAATTAGCAAAAATGGCTTTAAGCTTTAAGTTAAAAACAATTTCTGTAACAAATTTCCTTGAGTGCGATCAAACTGTTAGATGCTCTAACCGGGCGCGTTAGTCTTACCTAAAGGAATTAGAGAAAGGTAGAGCTCTGCAGGTCAAACCAAGGCAGCAATTTAAAAAACAGGGAGGGGAGAGAGAGCGTGAGCCAGAAGCAGCATCAAGACACAAACCAGCAGCAGTAAACAGGGACCACACACACAGCAGGGGCATCAGGAATGTTAAGACTCTGCTTCTGCTTTCTTATCTCCATACTAATGTCATTTTATTTTGTGGTTACTCCGAGTCGTTGACTACGCTTCTTGAAAAGGTCGGCGTTGCAATATTTGATCATATCCCAAAACCTGTTGATATCCAAGTCCTTCATAAAGCTGACCAGTAGGCGCGTTTCTCCCTCCGACCAGAAATGTGCGCTTTTCTTTTGCATCTCTACTCCAGCGTTACAAACTATTGGCTAGTTGGTCTAGTCGGAATAATAGTGGAATGTGAGTGTGCATGTAAAACGTTGTCACTGATGGAGGCCTAACAAGCTGAAATAACATTTTCCGTTATCCAGCTGTGAGATAAAATTAAATGAACAAAATGGGGATATTTAGAAAAAGGAAATACGACAACATCAGAGTACAACTTCTGAAGATACAGAGGAACAAATGAAAAACATGCAGGGACGGACACAATGCAGACACAAAGAGTAAACCAGGTAAAAACTGCTGAAATATGCCGTTAGTGGGACATCCTCTATGAGAAGTCAATGAATGAACAAGGTTCACTCTCTCTCACACACACACACACACACACACACACACACACACACACACACACAC